TGTGCACTGGACTTCATCTGGGTCTGTGGGTACCTGCTCATCGTCCAGGTCATAGTAAACCAGCTCCCGCACAGGTAATTCCCTCAAGTACTGAGTACCCCTTTCCATATTGGTCCACTTGCCAGGATAGCATACAACGTCCTCACTGAAGGGGTACCTCTCCCTCACGCCTGACAGAAGTCTCCTCCAGAGGCTGAGGACTTGTGCCTTTTTTCCCAATGGCCTTGTCACTGCCCCCATCCCTGGCCAGGGATCCCAGCTGCTTGGCTTCCTTGCTGTCTAATTCCAAGCTGCTGGCCCCATTATCCCAGCACCACAGCAGCCAGGTGACAATGTGGTCGCCAGGGTGGTGGCTGAAATCTTTCTGCAGGTCTCGCAGCTCGCTCAGGGACAGGGACCAGGTGATGATCTCTGTCTCTATTTCATGTGATGATCCCGGCTCATTGTCATCCTTCCCGGAGTGATCTGCTCTCTTTGCGTCTTTCTTTAGTTTTACAGGGGCAACTGCTACCGGCACAGGTTGGTTTATGGGCTCAGCCGCGGTGCGTGCTGCCAGAGCTGGAGTTGCTGCTGTGCCCGGCGGGGAAGCCAGGGCAGCGCCAGTGGTTGCAGCAGCAGCGGTGCCGGTCAGGGGGCTGTGACTGCCTCCTGGGCTGGAGGGGCTGCAGAGCCGGCTGGGGGGGGAGCGCCCGGCGGAGAGGCTGGACTTTTTGCAGATACTTTACTAGTTTGTCAGGATTCTGCACTTGTTCAGGGGTGAGTTTCAAAAACACCGGGGGTGCCCATTGCCCTAGGTACTTGCCCATGCTATGCCACACACCCAGCCACTCTGAGCTATCCAGCCCCGTGGCAGGTCTCTGCATGATGTTGTTAACTACTTGTTTAACCCTAAACAAGACCTGCAACCCATTCAGGAGGCATAACAACAGAAACATGCTGGCCTGAACATCGCACGGGTACTAGAAATTCTTAAAAGCTGTTGGACCGGCCTGAAGGGGAGAGGAGGGGTGAAAGAGCAGGGGAAAGCATCCCCTCCAGCTTTCCCCACAGAGTGGGTTCGATTATTGATAAATTCTGAGAGATAACACCCGAGGTATGGAAATGACCGCAGTGCCGCATGCAAATACAAGCCTAATTTCATACCCAGTGACGTTACCATGTCACAAATCGATATTATATAGTACAGCAAGATCATCATCCTGATCCTTTTCCCCGAGGTAATGAACAGCACAGCAGTGAACACATACAGCACGTACGGGTTGACATACCACAGCCACTTGATCAAAGACAGCGACATTTTTTACCAGCAACTGTTTAACTAACACAGTAAATGCGTATAACAAAATCCAAGAAAGTTGTTTTAACACACTCTGCTCAGCCCTGCCATGATCCCTGCCCCACACTGGGCACCAAATTTAATGTTATAGTTTGGCTGTGGCCAGCAACAAAAGGGCCAAGCAACTGCTCTGCCGCCCCTCCTCCCGCAGGGGTATGGAGGAGAATGGAAAGAAAAAGGCAAAAACTGGTGGGTTGGGATAAGGGGAGTTTAACAGAACAACAAAGTGAAAAACAGTAACAATGATACAGATAAGGAGAATAGACAAAACAAAACATCAGAACACAGCCAAGCAGAACCCAGCCTGACGGCACATGGTATGGAATACCCTGCTCTGTTTGGCCAGGTTGGGTCAGCCTGCCCTGATGTGTTCCCTCCTGGCTTCTGATGAAAAATTAACCCTGTCCTGGCCAAACCCAGGACAACAGCATATCAGAAAATGGACTTAAAGAACTTCTGACGAACATTGCGCTATGAAGTTTGCTTGGATGCCAACTGGCATTGGCCCAGTGCGCATGAACTGAAAGGAAACACCCTTCCTCTTGGGATACTAGTCCCATATATTACAAAAATTGGAATAGTTGTTCCTTGCTTACCAAGGGCCTGAGGCAGTCAGCCCCCATTGTTGTCTTTTAGTAGCACAGTATGCTTGGGCCTTCAGCAAAGAGAATAGCAGCTAGGAATTTGCTGCATCAGAGCTATCTTATAAAATGCTGGTACTACCAGCACACTTGCACGCTGGTACAGAGCACTGCCCTCGTATAAGCTGCACAGACAAATCCCACAATTTGTTGGTCAGACACAGAACCTGGAGTTTACTACAACCATTTCCTTTTCCTCAGTAAAAACGTGTTATGTGAACAGCTTTTTCTCCAGCAGGAAATAAACTAATGACTTCAAATAAATTTTAACCTTACTCCTTTTCTATACATTGCTGTCTTTCTTATACGAAGACCAGTCTTCATTGGGAAAGTTACATTAAATTCATGCCTACAGCCACACTGGTGTAGCCAGTGTGGGTGCTCCTATTCCCACAGGAAAGGACCTTTTCTTGGTTTGGCTCATGTAACGCCAAAAAGGACTTCATCTAAACTAATTAAAACCTTAGGCCAGACCCGTATCAAGAATAGTTTGCCACTTCAGTTACCTTGGCAAAACACACCAGCAAAGCATTTGCAGAACATATGTAACTCAGAGCAAAACACTGTTACTGCCTGCACCTCGTCGCATCCCTCTCCCTCCTCTTCCAAGGGAGGAATGAGCATTGATGTCCATCCAATAGCTTCTACACTATGAGTTTTTACCAAGAGCTGCACAGGGACAGATCAGACCTCATAAAATCCCTAAACAAAAAGGCTAGGTCAGAAAGACAGCAGTGCAACTATACAACATCCATGGCAGGCTTCATGTCTGTACACTGGCTTGCTACACCTGTACAGTCAAGCTAATATTCGTGATAAAACTCAGCCTGATAAAGCTCTGATATACTGAACCACTTTGTGCAACTTGTGAAGACAGCTGACATGCTTTCTTCCCCTCTGGAACACCACTCCGGGGAGAACACTGAAGAAACCTGAAGCTGTATGTTCTACCAGAAATATGAATCCATGATGTCAACTTTTAACAGAAAGAGAGAAGCCTTATCTTTCCTTATTTTGAAGATGGATCATTTAAATTTCCCTGCATGGCTTGCCAGTTCTTGAAAGCTTTTGTTACCAAGACTGTTTCTTCTTATTCCCGATAAGCCTGATTCCTTGACTGCTGACAGCTGGAACCAGTGAAGGGAAATCAGTAGTGTAAAATGGTTCTTGTTGAGCAAATTAGAGAAATACAGTTCACTTTTTTTTTTTTAAGAATGACAAAGGATTGTAAAACACCAAACTGCCACAAAAAAATTCTAATAAAAAGTGGCAACATAATAATATAGTCTGGTAAATTGGGATAGGGTAGTAAGTGACTATACAAAAGTCCATTTGTGACAGAGACAGCAGGAGGAAGAATTCTCCCTTGTCCAGTATTTCAAAAGCAACAGTTTTGTATATGCTCACGGATATTGTGAGCTCCCTAACAGTGATTCTTTGATCTTCTCCATTAAATATTTTTATGGACTTGTTCTGAACTTGGTAAGAGGGGGAAATACCATTGTATGGCATAAAAAAAAGTACTGAATTGTACAGTCAAGTCTTTCAAATGTGGAAACCTTTCCAAGTGGTATTTTAAAAAGCTTTTCTATTGTTTACCTAAAGTACTTATTTCTTATTCTCATAATACATGGAATCAAACCAAATCCAGACCCATTGCAGAGGTATTAAATAAACCTATGGGAAAACAAATACATTCTACTCAGTGGCTCAAACTGTATCCATACCTGTACTAGTGGGTTTGGATGCTCTTCCCTTAGGGGCTGGCAGTAGCAGTAATTCCAAAGACTGTGGTGGTGTTGCTTTCTCTTGCTTCATCTCCGAAAGCTGCAGGGGATCCTCAGCAACCAGTGATTTCTTCTTCTCAGCCAACAGGGTGCCTGCAGCCCTTGCAGCAACCTCCTTGAGAAGGGCAGCTGAAGAGGTCATGGAAGCCAGAGAAAGGAAAGAACTAGCCGGAGGCGGATGCTCCTGTCCAGGAGTCATGCTTCTTTCACTCACTTTCTTAGATAAAGCTGCTAACGTGGAGCTGGCTGACTGAGAACTAAAAGGTGAGGAAAAGGTTTCGAATCTTACAGTGTCCTCAGTCCTTGAAAGAGATTTGTCCTGCAGAACGGCATTGGCTGCGGCTTTCAGTTTCAGGATAGCTGAATCAGGAGACAAACCACAGGTGGTGGTTGAGTTTGGCAACCACTTACCTTGATTCCATATAAAGTGACTACCTGCATTGTATTGGTCACTTTGTTCCTGTTTCTCAGCAAGCTTTCTGGCAAGAACACTTAGCTGCTGGGCATGATGAGCAGGTGGAGAAAAGGAGAGATTTGAGCCAAGATTTACAGGGGACTCGACTCTGCCATTGACTGTAACAGCAGCATCCAGCTTGAGTGAGCCAGCCTCCAGTAGCCGCCTCAGGTTACTACTCAGTGGCTTATTCGGACCAGGAGGTTCTTCTTCACAGAGAGATGACACATCAGGAGAAAGGTGCTCTTTGCTCTGTAATGTGTCTCTTAGTACCTCGTTTTCAATGGATCCCAGCTCTGCTGTGTTGCTGCTAGGAGTTGCACTTCCCAAAGAAGTATCTGGGGAAGTGGACTGCTCTTGGATTCTGTCCTCAAGAGACAACTTAAAGTTCTCCTGGACTTCTCCATATGACGCTTCTGAAGGAGTTTCTGAAGAGTTTCCAAACCAGCGTTCTTCTTCACTGAGTTCACCTTCCACTTCTTCCTGCCTGGTACCATCTGTGTGCAACCAAGAACAACACTATTATTACCAAATCTGCATAAAATAACTTCTTAGTGTGAAGTACGCCTGCCCTCTGCAGGAACCTCCTAAAGAGTCACCTAACATCCACCTGAAGTGCATGGACTTGGCATCCGCCCAGACTGAGTGACCAGGAAAAAGTTTTTTGAAACTGAATAAGTCTTTCTTTGAAGACAAAATCAGGAAAAGCCTGTCATCTTGCAGTCAGCAGAACTAAAACAGCTAAAACTGCAACAACACAAATATACATAATATATATTCATATATTGCAAATATTTCATTATAAGTATAGCCTGTACATCCTGCAAAATATTATGAAGTCTGTGGTATAAAGCAGGGATTTAACAGGCCCAGAAATTATTGGATACTTGTGTCTTTGTACAGTTAGCACAGGTGCGCCTTCAAAAGCAGATCAGGTGTGTAGCTACTCTAAGTAGTTTCTTCCAGTGACTTTAAATCTCAGCCCAATCCTGCAGTGACCCCTATCTAAAATACAATAAAATCTGTACTGATAATACACAATTCATTCGTGAACAGCTGAAATGACCAATACATGAATGCAGGCTAAAGCTCTCATCTCTCCAGCTATTTGGGAAAGGAATATCATACACACAGAACTAATCTTTGGGTTTCTTTCTTCTTATATAGCCACTACTTGCTTGTCATTTACTTGTCACTCTTCAATAATGTTGAAGTTTTAAATACCATCCTGAACTGAACTTAGTTTAGCTAAAAAGAAAAAAAAAAGGGAAAAAAGGTGATGGTCTCAATGCAGTTAGTTACATGTTCTCGTCTCCAGTAGCTGCAACACATCTAGTCTGTCCTGAGACCTAACTGACAGCGTTTAAAGCACTATGACCCTGGATTGCTCTTCTTCCTGACAGGTATTCAAAGTCATACAGACATGACTAAGACTTTTTTTGCAGATCTTGCTGGCCAATCAGAACATAGTTAAAAACAACAGCAATGCTAGAATTAAATTCATGTTATCTTCTCTTGCCAGATTCCCCTCACATTTCTTGCTTTTAGACTCAATGTCCCAAGCTACAAAAGAATCTTTGTAATCATACTACAGCAAAACAAAAGGATTTAACGTAACCCTCCACTGACATTCTGAAAATAAGCCTTCATGATATGTACTGTATTTATGATCATGTATTATTCCCAAATTCCCTATTTAATTCCAGAAAATTACAGAACTTGGAGAGAAGTTGATGAATAAAAACTGAGATTTATATTATTGCTTTGATCCAATGAATTTAAGGATGAAAAAACCAGCCAAATGTATCATGAGTGTAGAGATACTAACATACACTCTGAAAGCAAAGATTTTATTTTTTTTTAATGCTATACAGAATATGAGGAAGTCTCTCACAGTAAGTTCATTTTACTCAAAACCCTTTGGAAAAAAAATCAAATGTTTTAAGATGCCTATGTTTTAAGAGCCTACAATAAAACCACTCAGTTACCTTAGATTAGTAATTCAAGCAGAATCTTTCCTATTCAAAACAAACAAAAGCCAAGCAAAACCCAAAGCACTTACCTAAAATTATTTTCATATTATCCAAGTTAACATCACAGACACAGCAAGATTAAAAATAACATGCGCATAAAGGCCAACACCATGCCCATTCAAATAAAGAAGATGGATGCTAATCAGTTGAGCCAGCACTTATACAGGTTAAAGGAGAACAGAGAACAATGTATTCCCTTTTCACCCTGTGAACATTAAAAAGTAACTTGAGGCATATCTGTACAGTTGGGTGCACTCAGATGAGAGATTCATCCACTCATCCCAGATGCAAGCAAGTTCTGGATTGGAAGCCAATAAAGCATCTCACTGGCACTTTGCTTGAACTGATACACCAAGAGCAGGGCACATCCTCTGGGACACGGCCTAGAGCTGACACCACTACACAGCTTCTGAGCCAGAGCTAGCCTGCATTCTGCCACTTACATCTGCCTGTGTTAAAACAACCCCTTCTCTCCCCTGCAAACCCTGCTCTCTGTGTCTTTGGTCCCCATCCATAAATCGGGAAATGAATTATTCCTTCTCACCTACATGAGTTTTTGCTCTAACCATAAAAGTCCTGCACGTATTTTCACTATCTATGCCTCCTCTATAAAGCTGACATCTCAGGGAACACTCACAGTAGCTAAGGAACATGAAACTGGTATTTCAAGTTGATGAGTGGAAAGGAACTACATCTGCTACGGCGCAGCTGCAACACAGCTTTCTTCAACAGTAACAACTACACTCTGTTTGAAACCAAAAACATAAGGTAGCAATAGCAGGAGAGATAGGAACAGGACATAGATTGCCTTGCTTTTTCCAGATATGCACGCTCTCCATTGGTCTTGCCTACATGAAGAGTAGCCACCAACATTTCACTGACAGGGAGCAGCAGGAGCACAGTAATTCTTCACTCAAAGGTCTTCCACCAAGTCCAGAATTTCCCTCCTCTTTGGGTAATGCAGTGAGAGCTCCCCCTCCTGTTACTAATCTACCTGTAACCACTCAAGCACTCTCAAATCTCCAAGTGGTCTCCATAACAAAGGGTAAATGTCCTTTGCAGCATGTCTATTGCAAAATCCAGATGAATTTTTTTCCCCACCAGTGCAGTTTCTTTCTGTACCCAGAAACCAGACCTCTAACTGCTGACACAGTTCTAATTTTCCTCTTCTCAGTAATTCCCTCAGTTGCTGCAGTATCAGGTCCACTGTATTTTAAGGCTGTAAAGTTAATGCTGAAAAAGGCAGCATCAGTGCCTTATGAGCTCAGTCAAGCCTCCTTTTCAACAGCAGTGAATTGGTTTAGAGGCATAATGGTTAAGCCTGGCAATTTCACTTCTAAGCAAAATCACCATTCAAGGTCTTCAGGGCACGATTTTAATTCACATTGACTTGTGAGCCTGTGAGTTTGAACAAGCTTGAAAGCTCCAGGAGAAATTAGCCCAATCCACCAACTTTCCTATGATTTCAAATTAAATAAAGCCTTCCCTCAGAACTCAGAGAGTTCATGAGACACCCAGACCAGGTTTGTCTGAAACAGGAGCCAACCTCCATGTATCCATCAAGAAACTTCAGCTGTATTCCACATCTGTGGCACAAGATCTGCATAACATGTTTTTTCCCTTCTCTCACAACACAGTTAAGGAGCTCCAGTGAGACGTCCTTGAAAGCTAGGAACAGAAATGTAATACCACATTTAAATTTCTTCTGTCCACCATAAACATACCACAGTTTGTTATTACAGAATTACTTACAAACATTAAGCTACTGGCATTTCATTTCTATTGCAGCCTAAAATGCTAAACATGGGTAAGAAACAATACGGAAGCTGCAAAGCAAGATAAGGTAACTACAGAGTTAGAGACAAATTCTCACTGACTTCATCTGAAACAAGACCTAGCTTGGAATCTCACCAACTTTTGTCGAGTAACCACTCATCAGATTGCCTCTTCTTGACATGATTCAAGAGTCAAGACCTGTCAATGTTTCTCTTTCCTGATTTCCATGGCAGTTCTGGAAGGAGAACTGCTTCCCAAACCATATGCCACTGGCAGACGCTAATGGAAGTTACAGGTGTCCTGCACGCTTCAGTATGACCCCATCACACAGCACCCAGGAGCTTCACACAAGTACTTCCCGCTCCTATCAGTGACAACAAAAGGCACCGAAGTACTGTTGGGTGACTGCTGCCACTGGTGTAGCCCAATATCAGAAAATCTCTGGCAAAGCCACAAATGTGAGCAGAGGCACTGTTTGAAGAAGTGCCAGTTTCCCTCGCTTGCCCACTCATCTGCTTGTTTTCAAGTGCGGAGTTCTGTTTCTTCTTCAAGCAATCAGATTGACATACAAATCTTACTGATCCCACAGTGTGTTACTTCACTCTGTGAGCATCTGCCCTTTTACTTGGAATGGTGATTAGAATTTGACCCTGATATCAATAGAAATGTAAATATTTAAACTTGCATAAACTACTTATATCTGAAAACTGAAAAAGACAGACATATCTGTTGATCTATATACTGAGCCACCCAATTCAAATGCGGGAAACTTTAGCTGTACCCAACGTAATGTACACATGCCATTGGTGAAAGTGGCAAGTGCGAGATGATCCACAGATCCACTCTGTAGGACCTGGAATGGAGAAATATGAATGTAGCAGGCTAGATCTAGAAACAGTCTGTGCAGCACACGGAAAAGGGAAGGGTCGCCAAGTTGTGGCACTGAGCAACAGACATGGGCAGTGAAAACAAGACTGAAAGAACACCATTTGGACCAGCAGAGATTATTTGAGAAGAGGCTACAGCTAAGGAACGCACCCCCAAGGAGACTGAATTTTCATGCTAGGAGGAAAAAATTTCACTTTAATCATTCAGTGCAAAGAGTAAATTAAAGATCTTCAGTACAGAATTAACATTGCAAATCCATGTGCTATAGTAATATAACACATATGGAAATTATAATTATGGGATTACAGAATGAAAATTAAAACAAATATAAAAGTAGGTAGAAGTCAAATAGTTCCAAAGAAACGCACATAGGGAAATTGCTGATGAAACTGATGATAAAATAGGTAAGATTGCCCTAACATCAGCAGTTACATTTCAAGAAAAATCTGGGAATCTACAAGACCAGGATTTAAAGGGACAGGAGAGCCAAACTCAATTTTTATTATCTTGATATCAAATATCTTGATCTATATAAGGATTTCAGATATGATCATTCAAGTTTGTATCAATCTAAATAAAGTTACCATTGCATTTCTTGGCTATTTGGCACCCAGATCATCTTCCTAATTTGTTGCCCCAACAGCTTATCTTATTCCATCTCTAACATCTATCATAAACCATTCTCTGTATTATCTTATACTAAACACTATACCTAGGCCTACTGAAAGAGCTAGGATTAAGTGATAGGTTTACACTAGGGAACTGAGGAGCTCTGCAAAGATACCTAAAGAATTTAAAAGGATGCATTAAACTTAAATGAAGCAGTAAGCCATCCATAAGGAGTTATGAGGAAACACAGACTGACACAGACAAGCAATCAGTTTAAGGCCAAGTAAATAGGCAAATGCATCAAAAAAAAAAGGCAGAGACAACACTTGAGCAACTTAGAACTTAGCTTCAAGTGACTTTTATAAAGAATAGCAAGAAAAGGGGAATGAATGAACAGAAGCAGCAGCTGACAACCGAGAAGGCATGGACAAATGCAAAGGCATTTAACTAGTCATGGACAAGGAAGAAGTGAGACGAATAGTAAACTGGTGTGCTCATATTTGGCCTCCAAGATGGCTTTCCATGTCCTACTGCCTCCTGTCTGCTTTCTTAGAACCCTCAAACGAGGATTAGGGATCAAAGCACAGGCCAAAATGCACTCTTCTGGCTGTCCATTTCAGAATACTCTCTCTTTACAGATGCTGTAACCCAGGTTCCATCATGACTGTTACCATCAGCTTCATATCCAAATAAGAGGAGTTTCCCATCACATGATGGCTGCACATTCAAGAAGAGAACAGAGGCCCACAATGTCTCCATCTTAGCTCTGTGACAGTCAGGCAACTTATGCCCTTTAGAACTAGAATACAGAAGGATGCTCACTTCCTTCGGCCAACCCAGTAAGTACCACCAGCATGGAAGCCTTGAAATTTGCCAGACTGGTTGCTAGCCACCCTGGTCAGAACAGTTCTAGTGGAGCAAGGAAAGCTTCTCCATACTGGAGAAGCTCCAGGATGAAATCAGAGAGGAACCTGAAGTCCTAACTGCAAACACCACATTCATTGAGAACTATCAGCCACAGAAGTGCCACATCAGAATTTAGTGCAGACATGATAACATAGAGGAGAAAAGAATGAAGGAGCTAAGGACTGAATACAGTAGATACCTTTATGTAAACTACATACACCGTGTAAGTGCATCATTTTAGCAATGGTAAAAAAATAATTACATGTGCTAATGTTACATCACTTTCTAATTCACATTGTCTCTGGGTGTCAGCTTCACATGAACCCTTGCTGATTTCACAACCAGGTACTACAGCAAGCAGCATGCACAGACCTAAAAAATGGTAGTTATATCTGGGAAGTCCATTTTGCGGTATCCTATATAAATTTTTCAGTCTAGCTGCCTAAAAACTACCCTTTTTGTATTCAGACTGGGTCTTAAGCATTTCAAATAAAAAAAAAAAAAAAGAGGGAATGGCATTTGTTTGGGCTGAACATTTTTTTTTTGTGGGTTCCCATGCCCATCAGACCACATGGATATGTGTGCTGTAGGACTTAGAGAAGCTGAGCACACTCTGCACCAACACCCCACAGGCTCCATCGCTAAAAAAGCACTTACAGCCACATCTGATTAGACTATATATCCAGAGCAGAGATGTTGATTTTCCCATAGGGAAGCTTGCAAGAAAATAATGATTTTAATAAAGACACAAAGGCCTGCCTTAACTCCTTTTATTATATCAACAGCAGCAAATAAAACGTGAAGTCACTGTTACATAAACAGTCATGTGCTAGAGTGCCCTCGGTCTCCCATTTTCCCCTCTTGATTTCTGTGACCTATAATAGGTAAGCAGACAGGAAGTCACTGTCCTCTTTGAATGGAATTTCTGGCTCACTCTTATCAACGAGATGATTATTCAACTCTTGACCTCATCACAAAATGGTTTAGCAGTGTTGCTGGTGCTTGAACCAGATTTCTCTACTGCAGGCTGACCTAGAGAGAGCAGCACAGCTGCAAGAAGGAACTGCCAAAAAGCCATAGCTCTTCTGTTCTGTCCTTCTCCCCTGTGTTTAAGATGTGTGAAAATACTCACACAATTAGACAGGAAAAGAAGCCCTACGTTGGACTCTCTATTTCATCTCCACATCTTCTAAGATAATGATTTTCCTAACTGGAGGGAAAGCGAAGGGAAAAGAAAGGCACAGCTTTTAAAGACAAGGCATAAATCCTCTACTTTTATCCCTAACTTAAAGCGACTTTGAAAAAAATCCACTTATAAGAAAACCCCAGAATATTCACCTAGCAATTTCTCTAGTACTGCTTTTTTAAAAAAGGGCTCCAAGACGAACAAGATTAGCAAAAGTTAATTACCTTGCAGTAACTGGAACTCTTCAAGATGCTTTGCCCATACGCACAAACAACTGTGAATTTGCAGAAGTACCATACATTCAGGTTTGCTAACTGCTAGACAACCACAGATGGTCAAAATGCATGTACAGCACCTCAGTTTTCTCTCAAAGGCAGAATCCAGGTGTGATGGACTCTTCCAAGGAAGAAGGGAAGCAGGATGGATTACTGAAAAAGTTTCTCACAGACAACATAAAACTGCCTTTATTTCCTTTCCCTCAAAGGAGAATTTTGTGGTAGATGAGAAACAGAGACAGTGGCATTTTATTTTCAGCCACAAGCCCCAGAATAAATGTATCAAGTGGGTTTCATTATCTGCCAAAGAGATCCTTCTTTTACTAGCTAAGTATCCATGGAAGAGGTCAGAAATACATTATTTTTCCTGAGGTGAGCTGTCACTACTTGCTGAAGGTTCTCAGAGCTGTTGACAGACCACAAGATAGGACCTTATAGTGACAAAAAGTCAGACCTCCCCCAAAACAAGTTCTTCAAAAGATAACTCTTAGTACGATGGATGTTTGTCATCTTGCCTCCAACAAACATTAACTACTCTTCCATTCTAGGCAAGATGTTATAGCTAGTAGCTGTGAGATCAATGTTTGAGCAGAGTTGCTTCCACTGGGACTCAGAAATTTTAAGCATCAAATGAACAGGCATTGCCTTAAAGTGAAAGTAGAAGACTGTTAAGGTGACAAAATCTCAAGACTGACAGAAGCGGTGGTCCTGTGCCCTCCCTTACATTTGCTCTGTTGTTTGTTTGACTGCCTGGTGAGCCAATTTCAACTCACTAACCTGGCAAAAAACTACTCACTCTGCCAAGACATCAGAACAAAACTGATGCAAAGGAGGCAGGAATGGGGATGCAGGAGGATGAGCCAACAATCTGAACCACCTATCTCCTGAAGTCTTTTGGGGTGCAAAGCATATCACGTCTTGTCAATGAAAAACACCGCAGGATTCTCCCTCTCATCCCAAACCTCAAGAAGGTACTACATCTCTCAAGGAAGAACTGGCCTGTCCAGTCAGCATGGCCACAGCAGTCATCACGCGGACTGCTTTAGTAGCCTTATCTGGGACATCTGCAGCTGGGTTGGCCACCATAGAATCTTCTGATACTAATTAAAAAACTCTTCTCTAGAATTGGTTGGCAGCATCTTCCTTGGAGCAAAACGCTCTAAAGACCCAGAAATAATATCTTAACAGTGAGGCCCAGTAACCAGCAACCCTGAAAAGTAGGTGGGCAGAGCAGTATGTCTTACAGTGTAATATATACATATAACAATGTTACATATATATGTACATATATATGGTATATATGTACAATAATATATGTATAATATTTGTCTCATTACTATTTAGAATTACTTTGTTCTAGCTGGATTTTGCCACAATTTGAGGCTCAGTGAGCTGAAGTACTTGAGGTGTGTGCATGAAACAGAATGGAATACACATGGCCTTAAAGGAGGGGAATATTTTTGAAGAACGTTTCTCAAGCAGCACATCACAAAAGAGCAACCTACACAAAAAACTTGCATCAGCAGACTTGACCAATATCTAGAACTCCTGGAAAGCAGGTAGACAGACAGCTGATTTTTATGATTGAGGTTTTCAGAAGAAGCAAATATTTCTGAAGTCAGCTTATGCTGCAAAGGCTGGCTAGTAGCCCCATGACAGATTCATAAAGCACATAAAGTGTCAGTATAGCAACAGAAAATCCTGTTCCTTACAAAACATATTTTATGGTAGCGATGTTCTTCTTTAAACACTTTTATGGAGACTGAGCAAAATACCATAGCTAGCCTTATTGAAACTTCCTTTCACAGGCCCTCATGAACACCCTATAATAACCTATAGTTGAGTTTGGGCACACCTTTCATAAAGCACAAGACAGTGACCAGACTGATTTATACACTAAAGGAATATGGTCAATTGAAAACCTGGTCTGTACATTAACATATCCAAAGGAATACATCTCTTTTGCCTGATGAAAACAGGGAATATGATAAACCATTTGCTATAAAACCAAACACTTTTTCAGACAATAACTTCTGACCAGATTCAAGTCCGTTATCAGGAATTTCAGGCCCCCCTGGGTCTTTTAAAACCAGCTACGATATCAGATTAAGACTCTGATAGAGTATTATAAATTTGAGGACAATTAAATATGCAGGAGATCAACTGTTATTCCCGCTGCTCTATTTGAAATGGGAATCAGATTTAACAGTCTTTGATGGTTCAAGTGGTCCATGTGCAGGTCTACCCAGAGAGATTTCCTGCACCTGGAGTGGTAGTGTATCATTTACATCAGCGCACATTGACCACTGTGAGCTCACTTAATATGTTAAATTCAGTACAGTGATTAGAAATTCTACCTTTCCTTAGTTATAAGGAAGTTTAAAAACTCCTTAAAATTGTTCCCAGTTAGCCAAAATTCACTTTGCTTGATCATTTCTTTTGCTCTAGATAGATGTCTATGGCAGTAAGTCATTGCAGTGAGACAGTATCAAATACCAACAGGTAATAGGGATGCTCGGAACTCCAAAATAAGAAGAGTCAAACATTATTCTCAGCACTTCTATTATTCTTAGCATATAGAGTCAAGACCCATCACCTCAGCCTACTTCATAAAGGAGGGGAAATATTTTAAGATTTCCCATCATGGGCTTTCATTAGAAATGAAACCCCAAACATTTCAAGCAAACAATTTGGAAAAGCTGGCTACAACCAGAAGATCTCTAAATGAAGGAACTTTGTTTCCCCTCTAGATCAAATTATTGTGGGAGATAATCACATGAATGCCAAATGATCAATATAGGAATCCGCAATATTTTAAAGTCATCCTTGAATGACAATTAACTCCATGAATGAGAAGATATTTTATTCTGCTGGCAGGTCATTACTGAAGTCTTCTCTGACAAGTTGCTTATGGAACACAGAACTAGTGTCTCTATTACGAAATTCTAAGCAGAAACACAAAACTGCCTTATCTTAAACATAGTCTATCCGCAAACTAGAGGCTCAGTTACTAATTTCCAAAAGGCTACTTGCTTTGTAGTAGTTTGATTCTAGGTCATAGTCTTCTACTGTATATTTGAGGTAGAAGACATCAAAATACAGAGATAGGAGGAAGGAAAACTATAGTCAGACTAGACAATCACTATGAACTCAAGCAGTGAAGTAACTCAGCACTCCATCTATCATCATACAGTTCTGTTTAGGTGTTATGGAAGACAAGACCCATTCACTTGGACAATTCTGCTTGAGAAAATGGAAAGATCATACTGTATTGTTAAGATATCTAAAAGAAAAAAGCAGAATAACAATGGTAGTTCTTTATACTGTTTATCCCTTAAAAGGCAATGGATTTCATGAAAGGAGGTGAGCACATGTGAACGATCATGGAACTAGAAAAAAAACTTGACCTATGACCTGAAATAAAGGGCTCAGAAATAATGGAAATTTATCCATTTTCAGAAAGGTAAGCCTCTGCCTTGAACAGCTCAAGTAAAACCAGCAGAATTTCTTTCTGCATATCCTACAGTGGTTTTTGGTGCTGCGATGACCAGTCTCCAAGATAAAGACTAAGCATAAGACATGGTTTAGCGAATCTATCTGCTGACTGGATGGCTCAAGGCATTTTAAAGTGATTACACTCTTCTTGGCTGTCAGTGGTATCCACAAGGCTTTGGCAAACACCAGAAGAAAACTGGGGGAAACACCCTTAATGGTACAACTTTTAGGTAGCAAGTACTTCCCAAGAAAAGAATCCTCCACAGCCAAACCAAAGGCATTAAACACAAATAGTACTGTTTCTCATAGCACATTTTGTATGATCTACGTGCCACAAAAGGCAGGAAAGCTTTGCTTTCTAACCTGGTAACAAATAAAATTGATTTTGCATTCCTATGTTCTCTATTTTTGAGTTACATCTGTAAACTACCCACTCTTACTCAGTGCCCTCATCAGCTAAGAATCTGTCTTAATTAAGGCCTGCACCTGACCTGCCACTTCCCCAGAACTGGCTGCAGTGATAGCTGTCTCAACTCTTTATTGTGACAAAATGCATCTTCATC